CCCATGGCTCGCGGCCGCGATGTTACTTTTCTACAGGTGCGGTGTCGGAAGTGAGTGCTCGCGAGCAATAGACGAACATCTCCACACAAGTGTTGCAATCGTTCACCGCGTTCATTACGGGAGCCTACACCATGTTCACCGTTTAAATGAAGCTCAAAAGTGACCAGTTTTACAATTTGGGTGTTCAGAACGCAATCGAGCACCATAATATCCGTATTTCTTTTGTAACGAAGCAGAGCATTAGATCGACGATAGTAGTCATCCATCAACAAATAAGCATTATAGTTTAAGATTGCGTAGGCGACAATGATAAACAGGCACTGTCTGTCCTCGGACAATTTGAAGCTTTGAACAAGCCACCCGATCTGACGGCATAGATCCGGCTATTGAGTGGGATCCAATCTATCAAGGCAGCTTCAACGAGAAAGCTCAAAGCAATGCCCACACCGGCTTGAAAGGCATTTGAAGTTGCGTCATCTCCAGCCAGATGCAATGAGAAAGTGCCGCCAGCATCACACATGTGGGATCACAGAGAGAACAGAGCTTAAATCTTGCAAGCGAGTTTCCCATAAACAACAGATATCGATCGACAGGATATCTAGTGGTCAGGCAAGTGCTGCCTGTTGGCCAATCTGTAACAAAGTACGCATATTGAGGCACGCTAACCTTGGCGAGAATCGAGAGCTCGAAAATGGAACGGATGAAATAACATTGTCCGTTGCCCTTAGTAACCATTGAAAGTTATTCCGTCTGGTACAGGAAACGGGTAAATGGTGTTAATGTAACGATTCATGACGAGTGGACAGCCTATCCACAACTCGTCAAAACGTTTGGAACGTTAGGCTGGGCATTTTGAAAAGCAATTTAATCGGCCGGAATTGACAGATTCCTCACCGGCCAGTGATCGCTCTGCACCCTGGGCTGTCCCTTTGGATCCGCCCTTAGACATACAAGCCGCGTTTGACTCAGTCGACAGAGCTGCTCTCTGAAGTTGTCTACTGAGAAGGGGAGTGCCCGAGAAGTACGTCACCATACTTCAAGCCATCTACTCTAAAAGCTCGGGCCGAGTGCGGGTGTACGGCGAACTTTCGCCCCCTTCGGTATTACCAGTGGCGTGAGACAGGGTTGCTCAACATCCCCCTTCTTGTTCAATTTCGCAATAGACGAAATCTTGGAGAGTGCTCTGGAGAACTGCGAACCCAGCGGTGTGGAGGTGCTCCTGCGGGACCGACTTCGGGATTTGGAGTATGCAGACGACTTCGCCATAATCTGCGCTTCCTCACAGGCCATCCAAAATGTTCTGTGTATGTTAGAAATGTCTGCCTCCCAGTTTGGAATGACCTATGCATCATCGAAACGCAAGATTTACCTGCAAGAGTTGCTAGGCGCTGCTCCTGACGTTACCCTGTTAGGTCATTCAGTGGAAGTGGTAGACAATTTTGTTTACCTCGGAAGTTGCTAAACGTTAATGGTTTAACGGATTAGGTACCTGCGCGTCTCCAAAGCTCAGGTCGCTTTGCTAATCTCCGCCATCTCTGGCGTCGAGGTTATCGGAGTCTAGCTCTGAAGGGCCGAGTTTACAATGCCACGGTGAAAGCGGTTCTCCTCTATGGCTGCGAGACTTGGCCTGTTCGCGCAAAGGATGTTGAGAGACTGTCTGTTTTTGATCACCGCTGCCTTCGGAGCATTTTTGGTGTGTGATGGCAACATCACACTAGGAATGAAGATACTAAACGAAGGATTTCTAGATCAGACATACTTTGCCGGCCACTGTGCAGACTTCAGTGGTTTGGGCACGTTCTCCGCATGCCTACTCATCGCTTACCTCGCCGTGCCCACTTTTCGCGCGCAGACATCGTCTGGAAGCGAAAGCAAGGTGGCCAACCTATGACGTGGACCAGGAGCATGAAGGAACTAACATCAAAATTAGCCGTGGTCCGGCGCTCTCGGCTCCCTGGCAAGAGTGCGAAGGATCCAGAACACACATAGCTGGAAACGCCCTTGGATATGGCAAGAAATCGTGCACAATGGCGGACTTGTTGTGACGCATTGTTCCTATGAACACCGGTCTATTTTCCCTCTACCTTCGTAGGTTTATTGAATTTTCCAAACGTTATGGCACTATGCCAATTTTACTATTGCCAGTATTGAATATATATATATATATATATATATATATATATATATATATATATATATATATATGTGCCCCATGCTGAGGCTGATGTTGCATTCTTGATGCTTCTTCACCGCAGTTGGGCTAAACCAACTTACACTTAAACTAGGTCTTTTTAAGCTGGCTAAATTTCATTACGCTTTATTTGGTTTGTTCTGCCTCCCTGAATAATGTTCTATTAACTGGCCACGTTGCTTACACTAATTGCGCTTATCTTCGGTAATTTTGTTGCGTTTGTAGCATTTTAAGTAACTTGTGGACATTTCTTACTTATCACGGATTTGTTGCTAACCAACTTACTTCATATGGTAATTTAGCGAAGAGTTATGCCACCGTATCTGTATGCATTATTGGATTTATTTAATTTCAGCTTGTCGTTTAAAGTGAATGGCTGTTGTTTGATATCCCTGGTATGGTTGCGCTTGGTGTGTATGTTGACAAGGTGCCTACCTGTCTATTACCCACTACATCGTTCATACTGGCTCCAGGAGACAGTCGGTCGTTGCTGGAGGGGACGGGGTGCACGGTTCTTGTGGCCGTGCTAGGCTCAAAGAGCGGTTCCATGCATTCAGTGTGGAGCGGACTACGGTCCAGCCACCGCCTTGTGTGCGGTTGATTCCCCAAATACAGCGTGCTTGTGTTTGCCTGTGAAGGAGTGTGGGCCGGCTCCGTTGATGAAACGTGGTTCCCATCCGCATGCCTCCCGGTCTTATTCCTTCTGGTTTACACTGGATATGGGGTATGTGGTTGGAGCTGTGGGTGGTGCAGCGCAAGCCATCCATGGTCCCTCTGTAGGCGCAGGCGTCCTGTGGCTTGCCACAGTGACAGGCAAATCCGAAACCGGATGCCGCCAACCATATATATATATATATATATATATATATATATATATATATATATATATATATATATATATATATATATATATATATATATATATATCCACCCTCTCGCTTAGAAGTTAAACGTGAACTCGGACTGAAGGTTAACAAAGCCGCGAGACCAGATGATCTTCATTCAGCCCTCAACAAATTCGGAGACCTTGCTCTAGTTGATGATTCACTTCAATCGCTAGTGAAACGGTGGGAGCAGTAAACTGTCCCAATCGACTGAAACCGCTCCGTTTTCGTCCGGATCTTCAAAGGAGGCTTGCGTTCGGTATGCGGCAGCCATAGAGGAATCAGTCTGATCCCCATCGCCACCAAATTACTTGTTTTTGTAATCGTTCACAGACCGACTGGCATTCGTGGAAGCCAGATTCGTGAGGAGCAAGCCAGATTTCTTCGAGGTCGCGGATATATCGACCGCATATTCACATTGCGTGTTGCTGGAGCACCGCCACATATATTGACGACCGACCGTAGTCGAGTTCCTCGACATCAAAGGTGTCTTCGATTCGATTGATCGGTGTGCTCTTTGGGACTGTATACTCATGAAATGTGTCCCCGAGAAATATGTAAATATTATCCGAGCGCATCGCAGGCTTACGGCAAGCTGTCTTCGCCTTTCAATATGTTAAGCGGTTTAAGATAAGGATGTCCGCCGTCACCTATCCTCTCCAGCTTCACTATTGATTAAGTCATGGAGATTGCATTGACAGAACACGACTTAGAAGGTGTGGAGCTACTCCCAGAAGAACGACTTCATGACTTGCAGTATGCAGAAGATATTGCCCTCATCTGTGACAGCTACCAGACGTGTCAAACTGCACTGGACAGATTAGCACTGGCTGTCAGCAGCTTCGGGTTTTGCTTTACACCATCGAAATGCAAAGCTTACCTCCAAGATTGGCGGGCATCGCCTTCTGCGCTGACCCTTGGTGGGGATCAGCTAGAAGTCGCTCAGAAATTCAACTACCTGGGAAGTTGTATCAGCGCCCTTGAGATCAAAGATGAGACCACGAACGGTATAGCAAAAGTTCGAGGTGCTTCTGCCAACCTTCGCCACCTATGGCGGCGGCGCGATATCGCTCTCGCCCTGAAGGGTAGAGTGTACAATGCAGCGGTACGATGGACCCTACTGTACCGTTGTGAAACCTGGCCCCTTAGATCAACGGACATAAAGAGGCTAGTTACGCTCGAACACCGGTGCCTTCGCAGTTTGGCACACATCTGGTGGGAACACCGAGTAAGCAACGAGCATGTTAGACGCCTTGTTTACGGCACAGAAAAAGGAAATGAACTGCTCAGTACGGTTACTTCACGCATCACGCTCCGACAGCTCCGCCACGTTTTACGCATGCCAGCCCACCGACTCCCGCGACATGTGTTGTTTGTGCGAAGGGGGTGTGGATGGAAGAAGAGAGGTGGCCGAGCAATGACTTGGAAGAGAGAAATAAAGGCCCTCAGTTCGGAGCTGGCCTCGGTTGGAGCTTCACGAGTCCCTGGTTGGAGTCCGAAAGATGAACATGTCTGATTGGATACACACGCTGATATGATTAGGAGCCGACCTCAGTGTCATTCCTGCTGTTTGTTTGTCCCTCCCCGCCCCTTTTAGCCCCGCCTCCAACCCAGATTTCATTTCGTAGCATAATATAATTTCACCAAATCATTTTCTGTTGCCTAGTAGCTGGCTGGTAGTTTTCCGGAACGATGCCCATCCGTTGCTGGTGAGGCAGCTGGCATGCAACTGCTGCATTTATTTTCTTTTTACTGATATGTATTGCGGCACAGTAGCTGAGGTGTTTTACACTTCTGGCTAACGTGTATAATGAGGATGAAGATGAGATGCAAACATAATGATGGGGTTTCGTGCAAGAAAAAAATCTGATGGAAAACATGTGAGTGGATGACTACATGGAAAGAATAAAGTTCAAAAGACTAACCTTTTGCACACTGCAATTATGGGTACAGTAGTTCGAAAAACATTTCGCTGTCATGCATCGCGAATTGATTTCGCGGGCCTGCCGCATGCGTGCACAGATCTTGATTTGTAGCTCTTCCAAGTCAACTGGGAGCGTTGCCTCATTCGAAGATTTTTCCCGAAGCAATTGCCGTGACAACCTCCTCAAGTTCGAGCGGAATTGTTCATTCTCTAGAAGCATGTTCCTTATGCAGTCGTCCTGTAAATAGGAAAGGAGCAAGGACAGCAAGTAGGACAACCAAACGCATTGTCTCGGCCATTCAGCGTAAGTACTGTGCTGCGGAGGTAGTAATTATCGACAGAACCTGAAAGTTGCCGTTACCTTCAGTAAAGGAAGATGAACCTGTCGGCGCCAAATCACATTGTGTTTACCAATTCGTGTGTGGCTGCGGCACCAGTTACATCGGCAGAACCGAACGGACTCCACATCCAAAGATAAGGAACACTTAGCAAACTGGGTTCAGTGCGAAGTTACTCAATCCACCTCCGATGATACGTGTTCGCGTAAGTCGCCAGCGTCTTCCATAGGCAGGCACATCTTGGTGACTCGTCACCAGGTTAATCCCTTATCGGCGTTTCGGATCGTGTTGAGCAATACTAATTCACGCCTTTTGCGATTTGCCGAGGCCGTCGGGATAAGCCGAATTAGATCGGCCTTGTGTGTTCAAAAGTAATTAGTTGTCAACGTGCGGTTGCCGTGGTCCTAATCCCAACAACAATGACTACAACCACTAATTTGATTAGCTTGACTGTGTCCTATAAGACATATAAAAGGATTTCCCTGTTATTGTATTGGGACTGGCGATAAAATAGGAAATGCTAGCATCTGCCAATATTCGTCTTCTCATTTCGTTGTTCAAAATTTCTTTAAAATTTAGTGCCGCTTCATAGGTTGGCAACCTCGCGCAGCAACGGCGCATAATGCAAATCGAGGAAGCCGGTCAACGTGAAAGGGGAGGACATGGCCTAGCCAACGGAAGTGGCTAAATTCAGCAAACATTCGAGTAAGGTACCAAAAGGCTTCTTGTCAAAAACCCACTAGTGGACCTTAGCACTGTTCAACCGGTGTTCCCACCAGACGTGAACAACACACCGCAAGCACCGGTAGTGAAACACGAACAAGCATTTCATGTGTTCATTGCAAATTGGCCAGGACTCTGATCCATGCAGTAGCACCGACTTTATCGCAGCTTTGTTAACCCTATTTCTTACCAACTGACTAATATTGCCATCTCCATAGATAGTTGAGCCTCCGGAAAGCCACAAGGACCATGCTGATATGCGAAGTAACTTCCTCGGTGATGTGACAACCAGAGGTGACACAGCTATCAAGGTAAATGAACCGATCCACCAATTCCAATGGTTGTTCAGTAATAGCTAGAACCTGTGACGTATCGGTCCAGTCCTGCAAGTTACTTTGCACTTTGAAGGTGCAAAGCATATGCCAAAGCGCGTAGCACTACTCAACAATCTATCCAGTAGTGTTTGCGTAGCTATCATTAGAATAATCCATATCTGTCAGTCGGTCAACTGGAAGAACTTCCACTCCAGAATAGTCTGAAAGAATCGATTCATATATGATCAGTTCGAGTATGAAGTTGAAGAGGAAAGAAAATATAGGACAACATTGGCGAAACCCACTTGTCAGGGAGGAGAGGAAACAGCTTTTCGCAGACTTGCTCAGACTAGGGAATCACGGCAGTGATACTTCAGAATGGAAAGTAGTTTAGATGGAGCGAGATTCAGGGATAGGTAGTGACACAAGCTGGCGTGGTCAACAGAGTCGAAGGCGGTTTCCAAGTTACTTAAAACACTACAGTCGGTCGTCTGTAAGTTTGTATCTGCTCTAACACCTGGCGAAAAGTAAATATGTGGTCGATGCAACCACGACCAGGTTAGAAGCCAGTTTCGCGTTCAGTTATTCGGTTCTCAAGTGGGCCAGTAACACGTGAAGAATGACACCCTTGAGATGACTGGAGACAAGGGAAACAAAGCTAATGCCTCTATGATTTACCGTACAAATTGCGCTGACCTTCTTTTAATATGGATACAACAGTTGACAGTCTGAAGGCACTTCTTCAATGTTCAAGACAGTGTTAAACAGAGAAACAAATCCGAGCAAAGTTACCACCGTCTTTCAGTAAATACGGAGGAAGTTCATCGGGTTCAGGAGCCATGTTTCGATTCAATAAGACGAAGGCATGTTGAATCTCCTCCAAAGTGGGAGGTGAGATCAAACGCCCACTTGGGCTCAAATGATTCGGTAAGCGGTAGTGTCGCACTAGACCTTATGAACTCCTCTTCGAAATATTCAGCCCAACGGGCCAGTAGATGAGGATGAGAATGGATCAACTGTCCGAATTTCTCAGCAATTGTCTCACTAAATGATGACTTTAGCGGGCCCGTATTCCACACGACCTGGAATGGCACGCTGCTGTTCCTAATGGCACCGGGTTTCTCTATCCCGAGGGCACTTGGTATATACAAACATTCTTAGCCGATTCAACGACTCCTTGTGAGTTGTCGCTTCAGGGCTATTGGCACCTGTCTCCGTGCTTCAATCAAATTGGTCGACGCCTCAGAGATCCATTCACAGTTACGACATTAAAAGCTAAGCGTATAGCTGGCTTCAAAAGCATTCGTCATGACACACTTACACGACGATCCCAGTCAGCGTTCCGCCTACCAACCTCATTCGTCACCAACAACTGGTGGACCAGTTCGTCGTGAGTTAACTGAACTTGAGACTGTCAGTCTAAGCTACAGGTAAGTAGGTTAGAGGTTAGGTGCGTCAGACAAGAGTGAATGCCGGGTGTGCGTGCACTAGAGTATGGTCGAAGCCTTGGACTGATGTGCGCCATCTGCAGCTACTGGCAATATGGCCGAGCTGGGTATAAAGAAACGGGGAATTCGGTGGGCGCCGAGTAACGCAATGTAACGTTTGTGCTGGGAAGCGGTGCTCTTAATAAAAACAACGTAGGTGACAGACAGCTGGATGAATCGAGCACCACTGTCTGTTCGGCGTGCACCGACTCCGAAGCGGCTGCCCAGGTGTTCAGTCTGAAATCCGATCCACATTGGCATTCATGTCACCAGCAACAAGCACGATGTCATTATGCTTCCCCATACGAAATGATGAGAATTCGCGATAGGAATCCTCTTTGATACCCTACGAACAGCAGTCAGTTGGGGGAAAAACGGAGATGATGAAAAGGCGCTCATTCTGTAGGTGGTGCTTAGTAACCCGAAAAGACGTGCGAAGTCGAATAGCACACAAGTAGCTGTGCGCTGGTATCCAATCGAGTAGATTGCCTTCAACATGTTTACTGAGGGCGATACCGACATTGTAAATATATAACCCTTGACTCAGTATCGCCAGACACGTAGCGTATAGGCACTGTCAGCAGATTCAGAATCAGGGAGTCGAAGGTTCATCACAACGCTGTTATCATGTGGACTACAGGCTCGACCAAGTGCAGACTTGGACAAATGTCGCATAAAGTTCAATTAGGTGTCATGATTTGGACCAGACATGTAGACCAGCTGCGGCCAACTAACATTCAGATACATAACCGTGAACGATCGCTGCCACTTTGCATTCTGTCGAACAATTTCGACAAACACCACAGAACTCAGGAGGGACTTAATGAGCCCTTGCACAGTGACCACAGAAGGAACGAACTTGCAGCCACGAGGATGGATAAATCGGAGACTGAGATGTATGGTCAGAATGCAGCTGGATTCAAAGAGGAAGTTGTACGTCACTTTTCGAAAGAGTTTTGAAGAGGGTCAGTACATAGCAGCACTCGAAGACAGCTCTCTCCCAAGTAAACCGGAGGTGATTGGTCGCACATCGCCTGCAGCTGACTGGATAACTAATGAGAGTAAACAAATGGTATCGTTTTACCTTGAAGTGGACCAATGAAAATAAACTGCCTTGAAGCCCTTCAGTAAGCGCACCATTTTAACAGCCAACAAGCGAGCTATGGCACATACAGTGGTTGCTAGAATACAGGAACATTCAATTAGATCATTCTCCCACGAACTAGTTACTTTGGACTTAGATTTTGGGTGTAGATACTGTCTTCCGAGTGCTCCATTTAATTTTCCTCAGAGGCCTTTGTGGTTTGATATGGGAAAGTGGCTGAGCCGTGACTCGAGTGGCTGTATCGATTATCCGTCTTGTAAGCAGAAACGCAACAGTACCAGCCTGACAAAGTCCCACAGTGAATTTCTTATAACCTTTATCACAAGTCACGGATTAGTCACTTCGTGCTTTCGCCAGAGGTAGCTGGTTAATGCTCATACGGAGGACATGGATTAGCCAAAGTGTGGCTAGGATTCAGCAATCACATGAGTGAAACACCGCACGGTTTCTTAGCAAAAAGCAACTGGCGGACCTCAGTAATGCTCAACCGGTGTTCTCACCAGAGGTTTAATGCTTCACTGCGAACTTACCGAGTCTGCTTCATACGGTAACAAAACACCGTGGACTTTTCAACAATGTGCTCATCTAGCAATGTTGCTGCTCTTACATTCCCGTGAATTTAGCACGTCAATCACTTATTTGTTAACGATTCCTTTGTTCATGCATTTGCCTGCGATTCTGGTTGCACCGCGAACTGAAGAGATCAACCAGTGCTTTTCATCTTACCCTGATCCCCGTTTCGTCTGCCGCGCTACAACGTACGGATACCCAACAGACTAGAAAAGAAGCCGGCCTAGCGCGAACCCTAGAGTCCCTCGATCTTGGTGTCTGCTGTCTACCCGAAACCCGACTGCAGGACCCCAGTGTTACACCAAGACAAAATCAGAAAACACAGTTGCGTAGCAAGACGGTTATTCACGTAAACAGCGCGTGTAACTACACCAAAATGGAATGCAAGGCATTTGAAATCATATGGACATTGAATCAAGTGACCAATCAATGGCTACGGCAAACAGCCAGTAGCCGAACGCACGCATGAGGTGAATGTTTGGCACAATGTATCACTCATTTGTGTTTTGGACTATCCAGCCCGAAATCCATCTACTTAACGGTGTTGTCGCGTATAGCGGCGCAGAACCATTTGGCGCGGTAGTGAAGGATCGGACACTTGTGAATCGATCCGCGCTGGTTTCTGCCTCTCCGACTCACCGGTTGTTCCCGAGTTCGACAGTCTCGGTCGAACCTAGTCTAAGTAGCGTCTGACAGTTCTG